ACCCACCCAACCACCCACCCACCAAATGAACAAATAAATAAAATCAATGGTATGTAAATGTAAGAGTAAGGTGCAGCGGGAAACCAGTGCACACAAAGGAAATAACTTATGGGTACATTGCAGTCTAGGAACCAAGCTGGGTATCCAAGTGTAGTAGAATCTAGCTGGTAAAATACTGATTGGCTGGGATTAGGAACACAAGAGGCATGGCTGTACATAGAGAAGGCAAATAATGTGATGTGCAGCATGACATCACAGTATCACTGTTATACTACACAAAAATTGTAGCATATATTATTATGGCAGTTGTAGTGTCCCAGGATTATGTGATCATCTTTTGTGACCTTCTGAAAGCAAAGTCAATGGGAAGCCAGATTCACAGTAAACGTGTTACTGACTTAAGAAGTGCAGGATTCACTTAATAACTGTGGGCAAGCAAGGTCATAAAAAGGGGCAAAACTCATTTAACAACTGTCCTGCTTAGTAATAGAAAATTTGGGCTCAATTATGGTCGTAAGTCAAGGACTACCTGTATTTAGTTTGTCCCATTGCCTACAAGGATATAATACTTACCTGGCCCTTTAGCTAAGCACCGATGAGAAAGAAGGCTTTGGGGGATCTTACAGAAAAGTACGTTTAAAATCAACAATACTTTAGATAGTGCCATGATCTGGAAGATGTTGGACCTTTGTCAAAAAGCATTGTCTAAAAGAAAAAAAAAACACCAATATGATTTTCTCTACCAATATTTCTTTAAAAAATGTTTAACATAATCCTACCAGAATGTTGAATGGGGAATATGAAACAACTGGAAGGACAAATTTAGCTTTGGAAATAAATGCCTTGATTCTTTTTTGAAGTTTCTATTTAGCTTCCCATATTTCTCCTTAACAAAACTCAATACCAGTGTTGGTTTACTACTATGACATTTTTGAACCACGTCTAAGCACAGCAAACAATGTTTCAAACATTTCATTCTGCTTGTCAGCAGCTATAAAATATAATTACTATTTTAGGTTAAGCTGCACATTTTTTAATTTTAAGATAAATATCAAAGATGCTGTGAGATTAGGAGTTTCTAGGCAAGGCAGTTCTTAGGCAATTTGCCAGATTGATTTACAAATTTTACAAGATGCTAACATCATCCCAAAGAATTTTTTTTAAAAAGGAAGAATGACATTCTTGAGTTACACAAGTTTTAAAAAATAAAAAGTTGCAACTTAAAAAAAAAGATTAAGAGATAAATTGTTAAGGTTCTTCAAAATCAGAATCTCTTGAAATGATGGCACAGTGGCTAAATGCAGCACTGCAGGCTACTTCAGCTGACTGCAGTTCTGCAGTTCGGCTGTTCAAATCTCACCAGCTCAGGGTTGACTCAGCCTTCCATCCT